CATTAGTGCGTAATAAGAGTCCTGAAGCTCACGACGAACTCATTAGTCCGTAATAAGTGTCTTAGAGCTCACAATGAACTCGTTAGTTCATAAAAAGAGCCATGGAGCTCACGACGAACTCATTAATTCGTAATAAGAGCCTTGGAACTCACGACAAACTCATTAGTCCGTAATAAGATCTTTAGAACTCATGAGAAACTCGTTAGTTCATAAAGAGAGCCCTGGAGCTCACGACGAACTCATTAGTTCGTAATAAGAGCCCTAGAGTTCACGACGAACTCATTAGTCCGTAATAAGAGCCTTGAAGCTCACGACGAACTCCTTAATTCGTAAAAAGAGCCCTGGAGCTCACGATGAACTCCTAAGTTCATGAAAACGAGCTCAATAGCTCACGATGAACTCTTAAGTTCAAACTCATTTGTCCGTAATAAGATCCTTAGAGCTCACAAGGAACTCGTTAGTTCATAAAAAGAGTCCTGGAACTCACGACGAACTCATTAGTTTATAAAAAGAGCCATAGAGCTCAGGACGAACTCATTAGTTCGTAATAAGAGCCCTGGAGTTCACGACGAACTCATTAGTCCGTAATAAGAGCCTTGAAACTCACGACGAACTCCTTAATTCGTAAAAAGAGCCCTGGAGCTCACGATGAACTCCTAAGTTTATGAAAACGAGCTCAATAGCTCACGATGAACTCTTAAGTTCAAACTCATTTGTCCGTAATAAGATCCTTAGAGCTCACAAGGAACTCGTTAGTTCATAAAAAGAGCCCTGGAGCTTACGACGAACTTATTAGTTTATAAAAAGAGCCATAGAGCTCATGATGAACTCATTAGTTCGTAATAAGAGCCCTGGAGCTCACGACGAACTCATTAATCCGTAATAAGAGCCCTGGAGCTTACGACGAACTCCTTAATTCATAAAAAGAGCCCTAGAGCTCACGATGAACTCCTAAGTTCATGAAAACGAGCTCAATAGCTCACGATGAACTCCTAAGTTCATGAAAACGAGCTCAGAAGCTCACGATGAACTCTTAAGTTCATAAAAATAAGTTTAATAGCTCACGATGAACTCTTAAGTTCATGAAAACAAGATCAATAGCTCACGATGAACTCTTAAGTTCATGAAAACGAGCTCAGAAGCTCACGATGAACTCTTAAGTTCATAAAAATGAGTTGAATAGCTCACAACAAAATCTTAAGTTCATAAAAACGAGCTTAGTAACTCACGATGAACTCCTAAGTTCATGAAAACGAGCTCAATAGCTCACGATGAACTCCTAAGTTCATGAGAACGAACTCAGTAGCTCACAATAAACTCCTAAGTTCATAAGAATAAGCTTAAAAGCTCACGATGAACCCTTAAGTTCATAAAAATGAGCTCAGTAACTCTCGATAAACTCCTAAGTTCATCACAACGAGCTCGACCACCTACAGTGGGNTTAATGATAAGGATCAAAGTTATGTGAATAAGATATCGTTAGAAGGATAGAATGTCTCATTTGTCTTTAGTGACGCAGTGGTGATGGACTCGATCATCTCATGTTAATAACTATGATTCAAATTTAAAATTCAACAACGGATGAAAATTTCAAAATAACATCCCGAAGGATTACTAGTTTGGTAGCCTTTGATCACCATTTTAAAGAGCAAAAAAAAAATAAAAAATTTAATATTAGCTTCACTAAGACGTAGATAATGTAGATTTTCATTCGTAGTTGTTAGNTCCAAGTCCAGAATTGAACTCGGCAACCTTATTCCCACTAAAGATAAAGCTGTTCCAGACACCCCCAAGCCTTTAAGAATAAGATTGCTTTAAGCTCCATGCCTCTCAGTTCACCACAACCTAAGCTTGACTGCATAAACCTACAGAATCGCCAAAACCAGCATGAAACGCAGGGAACAGCGGGTGATAAGATTTACCACTTACTCTCATCCAATAAGCTCAAGTATGAAACTCCCAAAGCATTCTTGCTTCAGAAAGAGCTCAACACTCCTTAAAGCAAGGGGGACAAGGGAAGACTAAAGTAAAAACGCACAGCTAGAGCATATTTGAAGTCGCTGATTGGAAAGCTATTACTGTTACATCCTAAGTTCAACCCTTGCCCAAGCCAGCTCGGCCAAGAGCTGGGGGGCAACTGATGATACTTAGAATGATTCCCGAGCAGGAGCTCGGGAACGGAGGTCAAACATGGATGTCAGGTGTGCTGAGCTCAGAAAGTTAGAACTATGCAGAGCTTAGAAAACCAGAGCTAGAGCTCCCCGAATGACCAAAAACCTATTCTGTAAGCCTTTGGTATGATCAATAAGGAAAAAGGAGCCATAGCCTCCATTGAAGAGTGGATTAGCCAAGCTCCCTAATCGGTGAATCACTATATTTCCTCTGTGTTAATCCTTCAATTCTCGGAGAACCTTAAGCACCATTCCCTGGAGCCAAGCGGCTCAGATGTTAATAGTCAGAATATTGCTTATCCCATTGACTCATTACTACAAAACTGTTTCGCCATTGATATACACCATCAATATTAATTTTATTTAAATGAATAAACTGGTTAAGTATGTCGTAATTTAACGGGTCTACCCATTTATCACCAGTATCCATTAAGATCNCGGCTCAGATGTTAATAGTCAGAATATTGCTTATCCCATTGACTCATTACTACAAAACTGTTTCGCCATTGATATACACCATCAATATTAATTTTATTTAAATGAATAAACTGGTTAAGTATGTCGTAATTTAACGGGTCTACCCATTTATCACCAGTATCCATTAAGATCTCATTCAAATCTGCTTAACTCTGTATCACTTTGCATCAATTAATCCTATCGTTTTGTATTTTGAAAAGCTTATTTTTTTTTTTGGTCTAATTTACGCGCATCTCGATTAGAATATTCACGAGAGATAAATCTTTATTCATGACTTGATCTAAAAAAATTATCCAGACTCCAACTCAACCTAATTCACGACACAGTGTTACATACAGTAAATCCCTAAGGAGGCCCATTAATTAAGAGACCCATATTAAATACATATATCCGTAGAATAATGTTAGAAGAACTTAATCCATAGGTGCCACCTGCCAGCATTAATTGGGCAGCACATTTTCATAAAATTGGCTTCAACTGACCATGGACCACTTTTTCCTTATATATTTAATTCGTTACTTGCCCTTTCGTAAGTAAAACAAGCCACAAATTATTGGGATTGCTTCTCAATCATGAATCGTTAAAGAGCAATAATATATGGACTTAAAAGTTAGACTTGATAATCTCAATCATTAATTTTATTGTGAGTTCCAGTATTTATTGAGACCCACTACTTATTCAATAGTTGAGATTATCAAGTCTAATTTTTAAGTTCATCTAGCATTACTCATCGTTAAAGCTTAATCTCTCCCATGCCAATCCCATAATTGCCCCGACTCATACAAACTTAAAATACAAACAATTCAATACATGACACTCTCGCAATTGGATACGTTATCATCGTACAAGATTATGTATTAATTTATGCGTATTGCGACTAATTTTTTTTTCAGTTAAGTCAAAAACAGGTCATTCACGTTTGAACTAAAAAAAAAATTATGAAGTATAAATTTCTCATGATCTGATTTCAAGGAGTTGCCAATATTTAAACTCGAGACATTTAAATTTATAACTCGTCTCTATTACCACTTAAACTAACTTTGTGTTTTAGCTATTAAATCTTGGCATCCACTTTGTAGTACATATTTACATTATATTGTTGTCTGAGTAGAAGGAAAAACGACACGTAGCATCTCTTAATTCTTATTATTTAAACATAGCATTATCTTAATGCCATCTTTCGTGCATTTAGCGTTGCTTAAATATATAACAGGGCACAAATAATGAGGAAGATTACATTTTATATTCCATTCACATACAAACATGACCACATGATTTATCCTATCCTATAATAATAAGGATCAATTAATGATAAGGATCAAAGTTATGTGAATAAGATATCGTTAGAAGGATAGAATGTCTCATTTGTCTTTAGTGACGCAGTGGTGATGGACTCGATCATCTCATGTTAATAACTATGATTCAAATTTAAAATTCAACAACGGATGAAAATTTCAAAATAACATCCCGAAGGATTACTAGTTTGGTAGCCTTTGATCACCATTTTAAAGAGCAAAAAAAAAATAAAAAATTTAATATTAGCTTCACTAAGACGTAGATAATGTAGATTTTCATTCGTAGTTGTTAGATTAAAAAATTATAGTCAAAATACTTGGATAATATCAAATCTCTTTATACCTGAATTCTCTCAAAAAAAATATTTTAATTTTGAAATACTTTTTAACTTTTAATACAACTCATTTTACCTTTCGCAATATTTCTCGATTTTTCAAATTCAGTTATGACCTTATTTTGATTTTCTTCTCTCCCAAACAAATTCATCCCATATGATGTAAAATTTATATGAATTCAAAATAAAGTGATTCAGACAACCCTAGATCTGTTCTCACTTCTCAGTGATTGGTGTAGTATCAGATACCATGTTCCATGAAAGACCAGTCAGTGTGCTTCTACAAGAGACACAAAGCAATTCCCTATAGATAACCCGCAATCAAAGCTTGTAATGAGAATGAATAAACAGAGGGCCCACATGGGTTNATCAGATACCATGTTCCATGAAAGACCAGTCAGTGTGCTTCTACAAGAGACACAAAGCAATTCCCTATAGATAACCCGCAATCAAAGCTTGTAATGAGAATGAATAAACAGAGGGCCCACATGGGTTTTAGATTGTGGGACCCTTTATCACATGCAGGGCAAGAGACCAAGATGTCATATCATCCTCATTCATCTCACATGTATCCTATGACTCTGCAGTCTATCCCATACCCTGCTGCCTCCATATATCACCCTCATNTTTTAGATTGTGGGACCCTTTATCACATGCAGGGCAAGAGACCAAGATGTCATATCTTCCTCATTCATCTCACATGTATCCTATGACTCTGCAGTCTATCCCATACCCTGCTGCCTCCATATATCACCCTCATAACAATCACTGGCCAAGTGCCTCTCTTCAGCCCTCACAGCTACCACCATGTTCTCTTTTTCACCGTTGGTATCTTATCTTCTCTCTCCTCTTCTTCTCCTACTTCTTCTATCCATTTTTGGAGTAGAATTAGCCGCCGCCACCACCACCAAGATTGGTAATGGCTACCGTCTGATCTCCATTGAAGAGTCCCCTGATGGAGGCCTTGTGGGCCACCTCCAAGTCAAGCAGAAGAACCATATCTATGGTCCTGATATTCCTCATTTGCAGCTCTATGTCAAGTAAGTCATACTCTATCTCTTCTCTTTCTTCAAGTTTTTCCATGATGTTATGTGTTGCACCTCCATGGTTGTCAATGAGGTTCACTCTAATCAACCATTTAATCTTTCGAAACTTGTTAGGCATGAAACAGAAAATCGTTTGAGGGTTCATATTACAGATGCTGAGAAACAGAGATGGGAAGTTCCGTACAATCTTTTGCCTAGAGAACAGCCTCCATCATTGAAGCAAACCATTGGTAGGTCAAGAAAGAACCCAATAACTGCTTCAGAATATGCAGGTAGTGAGCTCATATTCAGCTACACCACCGACCCATTTGGTTTTGCTGTCAAAAGAAGATCCGACAGTCAGACCCTCTTCAATTCGAGCTCTGATCAATCAGACCCATATGGTGAAATGGTGTTTAAGGATCAGTACCTCGAGATTTCAACCACATTGCCCTCAGATGCTTCACTGTACGGTTTGGGAGAGAACACACAGCCCCATGGGATCAAACTATATCCAAATGATCCTTACACTCTGTACACAACTGATGTATCAGCCATTAATCTTAACACTGATCTATATGGGTCACACCCTGTGTATATGGACCTCAGGAATGTGGGAGGGGAGGCCTATGCGCATGCAGTTCTGTTGCTGAATAGCAATGGGATGGATGTGTTTTACAGAGGGAGTTCTTTGACATACAAGGTGATTGGGGGTGTTTTTGACTTTTACTTCTTTTCGGGTCCCACACCTCTGGCTGTTGTGGATCAGTACACTGCCTTTATAGGTCGGCCTGCTCCAATGCCATACTGGGCACTTGGTAAGTTGCTAGTTCTTAGTCCTCCTCTCTTTATTACTGATTAATTCTCATCCACTAATGCTATTCTCATCACACACAAATACACTATACTATATATATAGTGCCAGTCTTCATTTCTTAATTCTAGCTAATGGAATGTAGATTGATTAGTTGCATTATTAATAAGAGCACTGAATGAGACATGACCAATATGAAAAGAAAATTATGATTTTGTACCTGTCCCCTTATCACTTGGCTTCATTTTAGAAGTGGCCCATAGAGAGGGAAAAATTTCCAGTTGGTAGGTAGCATCCATACAGCATGGATTCCAAATATATGGTGATCATAATGAGGGTACCATATGATGTTTAGGACTTCCCTCTTACTATGGAAAAAAATTGCTTTTCCCTTGTGATTCCATTTGTTTCTAGTTTATAGAATTACTTGCTTTTATGAGCAACAGCTAATATGAGATAAAGAAGAAATCTACTTACTCTAAAAATAGAAAAATAGAAAAAAAAATATCTACTTTTGAAATGTTTAACCATATATTACTTTTAACCTTTTCAATAGTTGCCCATGTTATTGATGCAATCTTCCTTTGTGAAAAGTGAAAACTTGAGACAGCTAATCGCGTATATAAGAAAAGTGTACAACTTTGACAATAAGATTGTTCTTGATTATGACAGTGAACTGTGATATGTGATGTTTTTTGAGGGAGATAATGTCACCTAGTCAAGATTTTGATTGGCACTTGGGTAGCACTATTGTCATCCTATGTTTGCTTCTAGCAAGCCAAATCGTAGTTGTAAGAGATTTTTTTTTGTCATGAAAAAAAGAAGCATCAGAAATGTTTGGATATACAGGGGAATCAGAATACAGGCATCAAGTTATAAAGTTCTTGCATATAATCNTAAGAGATTTTTTTTTGTCATGAAAAAAAGAAGCATCAGAAATGTTTGGATATACATGGGAATCAGAATACAGGCATCAAGTTATAAAGTTCTTGCATATAATCACAACTAGTTGTAAAGATCTCTCTTTTTTTTAACATTGTTAATGTTCATCATAATGAGTTCTTGCATAAACTTTATAAAACCGTTTCCTTATCTTTACTACGTATGCAAATGTCCCTTTTTTTCCCTTGTTTCGATTCGGAGAGTCATTATATGCAATTGTCTTGATAATTACAGCAATTATGGGTATATTAATCATGTGCCCTGTTGCTTTCAACTTTTGTCCTTCTATGATACTGATAAAAGNTTCTTGCATAAACTTTATAAAACCGTTTCCTTATCTTTACTACGTATGCAAATGTCTCTTTTTTTCCCTTGTTTCGATTCGGAGAGTCATTATATGCAATTATCTTGATAATTACAGCAATTATGGGTATATTAATCATGTGTCCTGTTGCTTTCAACTTTTGTCCTTCTATGATACTGATAAAAGAAGAGATAAATTAGCCGGACGCATGTATGTGTGAAGTTTTGGGATAGAGATATTAGTTAATGTGCATATTAAAATTGTTGAAAAAGATGGGTTGGCGTGTTGGTCCCTTGTCTGTTAACTTTTTTGTTGAGTTTGGTCTTGCTTCTTTTTCTTTAATCATTATTAGATTTAGAGAAATGTGTTTTGACTGAGCAAGATCCTTTTCTTTGATCTGTAATTTCCTAAAAATCTTTCTAGGACCACATAAAAGATATCTAAAACTTTTGGAGTTTTTTTTTTTTTTTTCTAATCACCCAAAGATCCTGAACTTTTGCACTTCTTTGTAGAGAGCATCAAGTGGACCCCCATAAAGCACTACCACTTAACCATATTGTCCTTCTGGAAATTATCTTCCCCACATGAGGTGTGAATTGAACAGTCACTGTTTGATTTTAAGCACAATGGTCTTCTATCTTTTTCAAAAAGGTCCTACTTTATGCAAATAATACACCGACACTACTTGTTGACAATTTTGTACTTGGGCCAGAATTCTTCTTCAATTACTGGTTTTTCTTGTAAGACTACTCTCAAAGTTGTGAGTACTTACTGTTCATTGAGTTAGTGCTGGATTGATTGAGTTGGAGATATTGTGAAAAGGCATTTTTCAGGTGAATGGACTAGTTTATGATAACCGATCAGGAGGTTCATAACAAATTAATTTTGAAGATATAACTGATCTGCATCTACCCTTTATGCTTTCAGCTTAGACATTACTTATTAACTGACTGCAACATTGAGATAGATTACAAACGTTTCTGGCGTGGAGGAAAAAGTCCAAATGTGAAAATTGATAAGGTTGAATTTGAATTATCATACATACTTCTGGGAGGAAAAAAACAAAAAGCACCACAATAGGTGGATTTTTGTATGGTTATCCTCGACAGGTTGCTAGTATTTTAATTTAGGTAGTTACATAAAGAATGCACCCATTTCATGCAAATTAGGTGGAAACGTAATGTGTAGGAAGTGGGTTCTTGCAATCTTACTCCTATTTAGTTGCTTAATGTCCCACATTCTTTGCTCACATTGATTACAATATCCTCTTATCTTGTATAGAAAACCAGACTGTTGTGAATATGATATTGCAAATTTTATAAGTCATATACTTTGATTACTCCACCTCACGAAACTTATTGCATAAGCTATGAAGCCATCTCTTACATAAATAATCAACCTGCCTTCCTACATTATCCACCGAGAATCATGCTACAAAACTTGGTCCATGTTTGTAAAACGATTTATACATGATCTACTGCTGCCTATTGGTTTCCACTTCCTTTTTTTTTAAATTAAAAAAAAAATTCAAAAATAGAAAACCACTAGGGGTAGGTGAGAAAGATTGGAAATCCATCATAATTAGAAAATTCAATGAGGGTAAATGTAATGGCTTACAATTCTTTTCTCCTTACAATGTTTCAGGTTTTCACCAATGCAGATGGGGCTACCACAACTTATCTGTGGTTGAAGACGTCGTTGAGAACTATAGAAAAGCCAAAATCCCGCTTGATGTTATTTGGAATGACGATGATCATATGGATGGACACAAGGACTTTACCCTCAACCCAAAAAACTACCCTCGTCCAAAGCTATTGGCATTCCTGGAGAAAATACATTCTCAAGGCATGAAATACATTGTCATCATAGATCCTGGAATTGGGGTTAATTCTACCTATGGTGTCTACCAAAGAGGCTTGGCGAATGATGCCTTCATCAAATACGAGGGTAAACCTTACCTAGCCCAAGTCTGGCCAGGAGCTGTGAACTTCCCCGACTTCCTTAACCCAAAAACTGTTGAATGGTGGGGTGATGAAATCAGGCGATTCCATGAACTTGTCCCTGTTGATGGCCTATGGATTGACATGAATGAAGCTTCAAATTTCTGTTCTGGATTGTGCACAATCCCAGAGGGCAAGATATGTCCCAATGGTACTGGACCTGGATGGATTTGCTGCTTGGACTGCAAGAACATAACGAAAACGAGATGGGATGATCCCCCTTACAAGATAAATGCTTCTGGACTAGAGGTGCCAGTAGGCTACAAAACCATAGCCACTAGTGCATATCACTACAATGGAGTCTTGGAATATGATGCTCATAGTCTTTATGGTTTCTCCCAATCCATTGCAACTCACAAGGCTCTTCTAGGGCTTGAAGGCAAGCGCCCATTTATATTATCACGATCCACTTTTGTCGGTTCAGGCCACTATGCGGCCCACTGGACAGGGGATAATCAGGGAACTTGGGAGAATTTGAAGTATTCAATTTCTACGATGCTTAACTTTGGCTTATTTGGTGTTCCAATGGTTGGTTCAGATATTTGCGGATTCTATCCACAACCTACTGAGGAGCTTTGCAACCGGTGGATTGAACTGGGAGCTTTCTACCCCTTCTCAAGGGATCATGCAAACTATTATTCCCCTAGACAGGAGCTTTATCAGTGGGAAACAGTAGCCAAGTCTGCTAGAAATGCTTTAGGTATGAGGTATAAGCTCCTTCCATATCTTTACACATTGAACTATGAGGCACATATCAATGGTGCACCAATTGCTAGACCACTTTTCTTCTCTTTTCCTAATTTCACCAAAGGTTATGGGTTGAGCACCCAGTTCTTGCTTGGGAGCAGCCTCATGGTTTCCCCAGTGCTTGAGCAGGGAAAATCTGAGGTGAAAGCTCTCTTCCCCCCGGGTACTTGGTACAGTTTATTCGACATGACACAGGCGATTGTATCAAAAGAAGGTCATTACCTTTCACTTGATGCGCCTTTGCATGTGATCAACGTTCATTTGTACCAAAATACCATAATCCCCATGCAGCAGGGTGGAATGATATCTAAGGAAGCAAGAATGACACCTTTTAGCCTTATCGTGACCTTCCCAATGGGTGCAACCAAGGGAGAAGCCAAAGGAAAGCTTTTCCTTGATGATGATGAGCTTCCAGAAATGAAACTCGGAAATGGATACTCTACATATATTGAGTTCTATGCAACTGTTAGTCAGGGGATGGTGAAGGTGTGGTCAGAAGTTCAGGAGGGCAAGTTTGCGCTAGAGAAAGGTTGGATCATTGAGAAGGTAACTGTCTTAGGATTAAAAGGAATTGGAGGGGCATTTGCAATGGAAGTGGATGGAAATCAAGTTGTGGATACTTCCAATGTGGAGTTTAGTGCCACAGAACACAAGTATACAGAGAAGTTGGAAGAAGGCGGAGATAAGAGGAAGAATGTGATGGTGGACATTAAAGGGTTGGAATTGCCTCTGGGCAAAAAGTTTGCAATGTCCTGGAAAATGGGTATTAAAGGTTGAGGATAAAAAGTTTCTCTACCTCAGTTAAAAACTTATTGAGATCTATTTGTCTTTTTGGTCCTTTGAATTGTGGAACCATCTTCTCAGGGTGTTCTTGATGGAGAAGAGGTGGCCTCAATTGTGCTTATCCTTTTCCACACAAACAGGCCAAGCAAGTTGATCACAGATCCTCCTTGCTTGTTTTGGAGTTTTTCCATTGATGTTGTAGTAGTTTATGTCAGCCCCTATGCTTTTCAGCTTTTTCTTTGTTTTGCTTATTTATATCCATCTTTATTTGTGTTACAAGAAAAAATATTCATTACAATGGTGAGAGTGTCATTATTATCATGTGGTGTTACTAATTAATAATATACAAACAAATAAGAAAGTGGATCCCACATACGGTAATAACTATCCGTCCATATAAATAGATAATTATTTACTCCTCTCCCATGTAAGTTAATAACTATCAAAGTGGAGTTTATTTTATTTATTTGGAGTTTTATTATTGCTTGATAATACTGCATGTATCACCACTGTATTGAATATTCTCTCGTGTTACAGAATGTGGCCTGTACTCTGAACTTTTCTTCCCAGCTACTGAATCACAGTGCTACCTAATGGTTGAGACAATCTATGAGGTGAACCTTTTGCAGCTTGTCAGCCTATCTTGATTCTTGATATCAAGTTGAGAATGAAATTAACACAAACATTTTGCCCTATTGAGTGAATTTAACCTTGCCTTGATCNTTAGGATTAAAAGGAATTGGAGGGGCATTTGCAATGGAAGTGGATGGAAATCAAGTTGTGGATACTTCCAATGTGGAGTTTAGTGCCACAGAACACAAGTATACAGAGAAGTTGGAAGAAGGCGGAGATAAGAGGAAGAATGTGATGGTGGACATTAAAGGGTTGGAATTGCCTCTGGGCAAAAAGTTTGCAATGTCCTGGAAAATGGGTATTAAAGGTTGAGGATAAAAAGTTTCTCTACCTCAGTTAAAAACTTATTGAGATCTATTTGTCTTTTTGGTCCTTTGAATTGTGGAACCATCTTATCAGGGTGTTCTTGATGGAGAAGAGGTGGCCTCAATTGTGCTTATCCTTTTCCACACAAACAGGCCAAGCAAGTTGATCACAGATCCTCCTTGCTTGTTTTGGAGTTTTTCCATTGATGTTGTAGTAGTAGTAGTTTATGTCAGCCCCTATGCTTTTCAGCTTTTTCTTTGTTTTGCTTATTTATATCCATCTTTATTTGTGTTATAAGAAAAAATATTTATTACAATGGTGATAGTGTCATTATTATCATGTGGTGTTACTAATTAATAATATACAAACAAATAAGAAAGTGGATCCCACATACGTCAATAACTATCCGTCCATATAAATAGATAATTATTTACTCCTCTCCCATGTAAGTTAATAACTATCAAAGTGGAGTTTATTTTATTTATATGGAGTTTTATTATTGCTTGATAATACTGCATGTATCACCACTGTATTGAATATTCTCTCGTGTTACAGAATGTGGCCTGTACTCTGAACTTTTCTTCCCAGCTACTGAATCACAGTGCTACCTAATGGTTGAGACAATCTATGAGGTGAACCTTTTGCAGCTTGTCAGCCTATCTTGATTCTTGATATCAAGTTGAGAATGAAATTAACACAAACATTTTGCCCTATTGAGTGAATTTAACCTTGCCTTGATCCTATTGTTTTTTTCGAATACTTGAAGCTCGAGTATATTTCGTTTGTAGAGGTTTTATTTTGATCGAAATCCACTTCAATATATTCTTTTTTATTTTTCTTAAAAATAAATCACTCAGTCATGTATTGGTAGGTAACGAGAGAAATTAAAGAGAGTGCATTGCTGAGATCCAAATTCAGACTAGTTGTAACTTCTATTGTTTTTCTTTTTCAACGATTAAGGGTGTTCAGGTTAACTTAAAATACATTTTGATTAATTTTTTTTCCGATTTGGTCAAAAATAGGTCATCTATGTTGGAATGAGGGTATTCATGAGAAATAAATTTTTTATGGTCGCCTGACCCCAAGAAATTACCAAAATTCAAACTCAAGTGGTCTAAATTTACCGTTTGTCTTTATTGACGGGCCGGCTCAGATTAGGCTCAGTTTAGAATTACAGATTAGGTTCAGCTCAGAGTCCCAATTTAAAAATACAAACCAGACTGAGGTCACAGGTGTAGCCTGGCCCAAACCAATCTCATCATATTGGAATACCTAGTTTTTTAGTGATTCACATGAGATTTCTATCTTAGGAATAGAATCAAGGTACGCATCGTAAACCTTAACCACCTCGTCCATTGTGCCAACATCACGGAGCCACCCATTCCTGTCACAAGGGTGACACTTTAATCAAGGCTCTCGACGATGACACCTCCATCAAATTTCGCTGTGGGGCGCCAAAAAGACTATAGTTCGTTATAAATTGTAAGCATCACCTACACATAGGANACCTCGTCCATTGTGCCAACATCACGGAGCCACCCATTCCTGTCACAAGGGTGACACTTTAATCAAGGCTCTCGACGATGACACCTCCATTAAATTTCGCTGTGGGGCGCCAAAAAGACTATAGTTCGTTATAAATTGTAAGCATCACCTACACATAGGAGACATCACACACATCTCAGCACACTATATCTCTTGAGTAATAAAATTATCTGCCTACCATAGTCATTCCCAGTAGAATAAGTTATCCAAACCGAACTACATAATCTTTATATTTGCTTGTATTGAGCCCTCTTTATTTTATCCTTAATTAATTTTACATAAACATCTTTTGTGTGTCATCACTTATTATCACTTGAGTGGATAACTTCCATTGATTCGTAGTTCGAAATAGTCTAACTTGTCCACCTGAATTATCCTGAGTTGCAAGGGAACGACTTACCCATTTGTTGAAAATACATAGGCCCAATTGTTAAAGTCATGGTCTGGCACTGCTGAGACCAAAATCATTGCTGCTTATGGTAAAATTGGGCTTGAATCATTGGGCCATATATATTTTTTTAAATGTACATATTTATGGTTAGAGATGTCAATGAACTGAAGTGGAGGCGGAGGGTATAGTCTTCATCTCCGTACCTACTTAAAAAATCTTTGTTCATCCCCGGTCCACCCCTACTAACAGGTATAATTTTCATCCCCATCCCCCTCTGCTGATAAATTTATAATCCCCGTCCCCGTCCCTGTTTCCCCCATACCCGGCCAAACCCATGCCCAAGTCCAAGCCCAAGCCCAAGCCCAAAGTCAAGCCTAAGTTCAAGGATCCAATCAAACACAGTCATACAATTCTGTTCTCTTTTCTTTTTACTTACCAAGTAGTGCATAAGTAAAATAATGTTGTAACAAATGATACTTCCAATAATATTTTTGTAAAGTAAATTATTTTTAGTACAACCCAATTTCATCATAAAATTTGCATCAACCCCCTCATAGCAGGAAAACTTTTTAGGAAAGTAATTTTCATTTGCTTCTTATAGAAATTAACACAACCATTTCACATGTTTGCGGTGAAAAATCTACAACTTGGATGCCCAACCACTAGATCACAATAGCCCGCCTCAAAAAAGGAAACCTTAACTTAGCAGAGGTGGACAAAAAGGGAGGCCAAGAGTGATACACAAAAAATTAGCCTTTTGAACGAACAACCTGAGTTTGAACAACCAAAATCAACCTTAGCCTTAAACAGCCTTAGCCTTTTGAACAACAAAAATCAACCATCACCGGCATTTGTAAAAACGAAACAGCTTGTTGGCATTTCCTCAACAACATTTACTAACTAAAATTGTTCATGTAAAATCCTTCCCCCCCTCCCTTAGCGTAAAATCCGGGTAGATTTAAACTTTTATGAATAAAGGGTAAAATGGTAAATTATCACCATGATTCGGGTTGTAAATCTGAAATTTTTTGTAATTCGGATGACAAAACGGACCTCACCGTTGGATTCGTCTCGCGAAATCGAGTTACCACGTCAATTTTCGTCGAATTCTGAGATAGTCAAATTTTT